GTGAGAAGTTGAAAGAGCCAGAGGTGGTAGATGAATACAAAGAGGTTGTCTAGACACCACAGGGTAGTTTCACATATGAACCCACAGTGCTTGTGGTAGCATTCACAAGACCTGTGCTAACTCTAGCCAGACAAAACCCAGCATGGATGGGAGAGGTTGACAGGAAGCCTCGACAAAGCTGCTTGCTTAGCTGAGGATCTTTTGGCAATTGATAGCTGCTGGGAGGCAGTCAGTTTTCTTTACTAGTGTAGGTTAACAGACTCCAAGGGATAAATCTATACCTAAAAACATTTTGGAAACACAGATTAGACTTGCTAGAGCACTTGTAAAAAAAGATAAATAAGGGGCTGGAGAGATGACTCAGCACTGGTTGCTCTTGCAGAAGTCCTGGGTTCTATTCCCGGCACCCACCTGGCAGTTAACAACCATCTGTGACTCCAGTTCCAGGGTATCTGACCTCTCTTTTGACCTCTCCAGACATTGCATGACACGAGTGCACTTAAACACATGCAGGCAATACATTCATACACATAAAATAAAAATAATAAATCATTTTTTAAAAGATAACAATAGAGGATACGAAGCATGGGGTGGGGTAGTGAGGAGGGGGTGAACAAGGGGGAGGAGTCTAAATATAACCAAAATATACTGTAGGAAATTCACCAGCAAATAAAAATACTTTTTAAAAAATAAACAAATCCTGAAACAGTCTTTTTAACAAAAGAGGAATATTGTGTACATTGTATTATTACATCATGCATTATCACTGAACGATAAAACAAAATCTAAATGCATTGCTTTTTCCCATCAGCTGATAAAGGTGGCACATATACCTAATGACTACTATGCATCCATAAAATGAAATCTTGTCACTTCCAACAACATAGAAGGAACTGGATATACTAAGTGAAATCAGCCAGGCACAGAAAGACAAGTACTGTGTGGTTCTCTCTCATGTGTGGAATGTAAATAAAATAATAAAATAAAGTACTTTCCATGGGAGTGGAGGTGGTCACTGGAGACAGTAGAGTGAAGGTGTGGGATAGGAGGGGGGGATGTTGATCAATGGGTGCTGACTACAGTCAGATAGAAACAGCAAGTTTTGGTGTTTCCCTACATAGTAGGATAGCTAGAGATTACAATATACTGTACATTTCAAAAAGCTAGAGCAAAAAGTTTGAAAATTTTCACTGTAAAAGATGAGATGAATGTGTTTAGCCTGACCTAATCATTATGTAAAAATATCAAAACAACATGATATTCATATATATATATATATATAGTTTTTACTTTTATGCATCAGTTAAAAATTAATTTAGTGGGGTATGGTGATACATACTTTTAATCCCAGCACTCAGGATACAGAGGCAGGTAGAGCTCTGTGAGATCAAGTTCAGCCTGATCTATATTTCCAGGCCAGCTGGGGCTACAGGGAGATCCTGTCTCAGAAAATAAAAAAATGTTTAATTAAAAATACACTTTTTCATATTCAGTTTTGTGAGGTGAAAATGGCACCTACTTCTTAAAATAGTATTTAAAACATAGTAAGATAGAGAAATGTTGTACCAGGTATATCTCCAAAGTATAGAAACAGAAAAACATTTAAGAAGGTCACCTCTGGGTGTTGATTAATTATCAGCATTTAATCAAGACCCAGGATTGGATTTCACTGGGCTAAGAAACAAGGGGAAGGCTTAAGGATAGTACATCAATGCACGTGAACAGAATGTCTAAAATTTTCCAGCTCTTGTGGAAAAAAGTCTGAGGAGCAACTTGTTTCTTAAACAAAAAAAGTGCCAAATTATGGAAACCAGGAGTTTTTGTTTTCCTACGGAAACGTTTTCCTGTTTCTCCTTGGTACCTTTTCAAAAACTAACCCAAACTCAGCTATCCTCATTAAATTTCTTAAGGTTGGACCACTCTGAACTCGGTAGCCCCATCCATTCCCCCAGTATGCACTTTGGAGGCGGGGTCGCTCAAGGCACACCCTGCCATTTTGTCTTTAATCTCATGTGACATGAGCCCTGTTGAGGTGGGGTTCAGTCATCATCCCCACACTGTACATAGGAAATGGCAGGAGCTACCTGTGTTTCCTGAACTTCCCAAACCTTGGTGTTTCTTCCTTCCCTACAGGCCAGCCCTCAGGTGTAGTTCACACACTCTGCAGTCTTAGCTTTGGAGCCCCGGGTCTCAAAGCTGTGGAGGAGGCCCTGGCACTCACCACTCAGACCTCGCAATGCAACCGCCACTGTTACAGCTCCTGCACGAGCTACTGAGGGCGCGCGTGTCCACGCACAGTGGCACTTCCTCCCCTGTTTCTTCCTTCCCTACAGGCCAGCCCTCAGGTGTAGTTCACACACACTGCAGTCTTAGCTTTGGAGCCCTGGGTCTCAAAGCTGTGGAGGAGGCCCTGGCACTCACCACTCAGACCTCGCAATGCAACCGCCACTGTTACAGCTCCTGCACGAGCTACTGAGGGCGCGCGTGTCCACGCACAGTGGCACTTCCTCCCAACACCCTGGTCAACCGCTCTGGGCCTGGGAGCTGAGGCTGACCGGAAGTGTGTGTGGGGTAGGACATGGGGGTTAAGACAGTGCTGGGCGGGGGTGAGGGAAGCTCGCGATGTTCAGTTATAATTGTTTTTATAACCGTAATGTCTCCGCTTTCATTTCTGACTCCAACAATTTAAGAAGTCCCACTTTTTTCTTAATCAATCTGGATAAATATTTGCCAAAGTTTCCAAAGAATCAGTATTTTTCTTTGGATTTTTCTCTGTTGTTGATTCTGTTTCATCTCTTTTCTTTTGCTAGTGGGGTGTTTCCTCTACTTTCCTACTAGTAAGCCTAGGTAAACAGTTCATTGATTTGATGTAGTTCTTTTTAAAAGTCTTCATTTGTACTGTGCATTTTCTCTGAGCTTTGCTTTAACTATTTAACCTTTGGTGTGTTGTGATTTTATTTCATGTTCCAAAGACATTTTGTAATTTGTTTTCTTTTTAAAATTTATTATTTTATGTGTACAAGTGTATTGCCTACATGCGTGTAAGTGCACCCGTATCGTGCAATGCCAGAGGCCAGAAGAGGGCTTCAAATCCCCTGGAACTGGAGTTATGGACAATTGTTAGCTGCCACCTGGGTGCTGGGAATCGAACACAGGTACTCTGCGAGAGCAACCCATGCTCTTAACTGCTGAGCCATCTCTCTAGCCCCTCTGTTTTCTTTTCTTGACTCATTAGTAATTCATAATATTTAACTTCCAAATATTTGTGAATTTTCCAGTATTCCGTTGATTTCTGGTTTTATTAAACATCTTGGGTGGATAAGGCACTCTGTTAACATTTCAGTATTTCTAAATTTATTGAGGCTTAATTAATTAATTAATTAATTAATTTGTGTGTGTGTGTGTGTGTGTGTGTGTGTGTGTGTTTGTTTTTGAGTTGGGGGCCAAACCCAGGGCCTTGTGCTTGCTAGGCAATCACTCTACCTCTGAACTAAACTCCTAACCCCTACTGAGGCTTATTTCATGACTGGAGAGTTGGTGAAATCTAGAAATGGTTCTGTTTGGGCTTGAGAAGGATGTATATTCTGCTGCTGTGTGCTGGGCTGTTCTGTCTGTAACATCCCATGAGAGTGCTGTGCTGTTGGCACCTTCTATTCCCTTCTGATGACCACAATGAAGATGATTTTATTGCCCAATGTACACAATTGTGTAAATATGTCACTGTCAGTCTGAGCCACAAGCAAGGCTCCTCACTGTGCAAACAGGAGACTGCAATGAATATTGCTGTAGAAATTAAAACCTTTCTGCTGACTTATATTAAGGTGCATATAGCCTAGGTTGCTAGAGGAAATGTTTTCAGAATGTTCATGTTCACAGATCTTCATAAATATAAAATCAAACCCTTATCTAAAAAGGACAGACTAGTGTCTTCTGTATATAATTAAAACAATTTTGTAGCACTTTATTTATTTGAAGGTGGCATGACACAGCATGAGTATGGAGTGTGGTATCAGAGGGCAATGTGTGGGAGTCGGTCTCTCTTCCACCATGGGGATCCTGGGAATTGAACTCAGGTCATCGGGCTTGGCAGCAAGTGCCTTTACTCACTGAACCATCTTACCAGCCCTGGATATCACTTGAAAATACTTGACTAAGAACGAGAAAACTTTGAAGGAAGCACACCACGATGCACAGCAGCTTCCTGGACTATCTTGCAAATCTTCCAGAACCATTCTAATTGCTTGCTCATCTGCTGATGAACTGCAGAGACAGGATAACATGTCTCACAGAGACATCTAAAGAAGAGTCTATCTTCCTAGACAAGGATCAGGAGAAATCACTCTACTTCATTTCTCCTTATTTTTTATTAAAGGGAAGGCAAAACTAGAAAGGAAAGCACATTACTTTTAAAGAAGTCTTTTCTGTCTATATACTTCAGACATTCTTGGTGCAAACATTTCTTTAATGATTGAAGCTCAAGACCATTATTTTGGGTTTTGGAAATAATAGTATCAGACAATGATGTTTATTTAAAATTAGACATATCAGAATACATTGGGGTTTATGTATGTATGTGGAATACACATGTGTGTGTGTGTGCATGTTTATGGCAAATTTGATTTGTTCCAGGCTTATGTTCTTTCATCTACCATTGGCTGCTAAAACCAATGCTTTGCCCCAGGGCACATCTGATGTCACCATTATTTTTGGATGACTCTGTTCGAGTATTCAGAATATTCAGGAATAGGTAGGTCCTTGATAAAGGCTGCCCTTTCATATTTCTAGATGAGCAATCAAGTTTTAACAAATGTTTTCAGATTTGGACATGTTGGAAGCACAAGGCATTCAGCTCTATCTCCGGTGAGAGTGACATTTTTTTCTTCAGGGAACTATTTAGTACACAAATCTATTTACATGAAGATATACAAACACAGGAAGCGTCTCTAAGTACTCAGTTACAGTCCAAAAAACATATCAGTGTCATTAGTTGCCACTGAATCTCAAGGCACCATTTTTGCATAGTCATTTGCTGTGTTATCCAGGTTAGCAAAGGCGGGGAAAACTTGTTCCAGTGTGATCTGACTGATGGAATAGTCTTCCAAGTTGAATTGCTCCTTAGCTTTCTCCAAAATGCCAAACACCTTCAACAACAAAAGCAGCATGCAGTTACCACTGCAATCTCTCTCCAGCCCCCAACCCACTTAAGTCTCTTTTCTTCCCTTCCCAAATTCCTGTCAAGTTTATTAAAGTTAAAGAACCAGAGGCATAGGACACGATGAGAAAGCAGGAGAAACAGGTAATCGAGAAACTCAGAGGAGGTGTTTCCCCGGGTCCTTTTGCTGGACGTGGACCAACAATGGGATTTAAGGGAAATCAAAGCAGTTCAACTCTGGGTGTGTTGGAACACAACCTAAAACGCTCTACTGCCTCCACAAAGCTCCCATTCCACTCCCTGAAACCCCAGCACTTCCCAATATTAATGCTTTCTTAACATGTACTGTTAGAAGGGCGTGGTTCCTCCACCACCTTTCCCCAGCTGTTGTCCTTGCGGGGAATGTAGTAATTAAGGATCCCTTGATGCTCTTGCTTCAAGTCACCACGTAAGACGGGAAAATAGGACAGGTGATTAATCATAGAGATTTCATTTAAAACTGTCAAAATCGTGGCATATCTAATTAATGTTATATATAGTGGAAGGGTGACTAGTTGAGGTTAACACAAACAGGATGTGACCCCAAACACACTTTCTTTGATGTAAATGACATGGTTAATATTTCCAAATGATTTAGTCCTGATGAAACAGTCTTATTATAGGAGATTTACAGTAATTATTGAGGATTTTAAGCTCAGTAAACTGTCAGCTCATATGCCCAATGTGAAAAATTTGAGTTTTAAAAATTTGAATGTTACCACAGACTTTCCTCCCGCACATAGTTTTGAGTATGGACAGGGAGGATTTACCTCCTAGTTGTATGGCCTGAGGCTACCTGGGTTTGAAAGAGGAAGAGGAAGGACAAGCTTTCCTTATTCTCATGATTGTGTTAATATCCTCCCACTGTGCAAGGAGAAATCATAGACACAAATCACCCAAATCAGGCCACTACATTCTTGTTTCTTTTACAGTAAGAATCCACTGATACGATTAGTGGGAAGGGGCTGGGACCCATTGAACAAGTGTGTTCATACTTAACATATGCAAATTTATAAATTATTGCAACTTTAAATGAGATTTAACATGTTTTAAAGAAAGTTCCATGCTTGAAATCATCTGTGGATCTTGTTAATATTACTAGTAATGCATTTGTTATTGTGGTCACTATGACATATTTCAAATATAAGCACAAAAACCAAATTATTTAAAACAAGTAATGATAAAACCATCCCATCTAGGTCAAGTAACACTTGCCCCTTCAGTGTCATGGGCAGTCTTCTCCCTCCTACACTCCATAAAAACAAGTAATATCCCCTACTGATACCAAAGGCATTTTCTTTTGTTTTCAGTAATCCAGTTACTTACTTACGTTGTCATAACAATGTGGCTGAGAAGTATGTGTGCATTTAGAAGGCCAAGGTTGACTTAATAAGACATATAGTATTTAAAATGTTCATCCTTTTATGTTTATAACAACTAATTCTTTTAGAGATTATCAAGAATATAATGTATTAACAATAGTCATCATGTTGTATAATTACCTCCTAAATTTTTCTTTCTTGCATATGTCTCTGACATATTTCATTTCACTTGTTTGTGATATATAAATACAAATAGGATTTCTAGGACATAGGTTAGTGCTATTTTTAATTATTTGAGGAATTTCCATATTGTTTTTCAGAATAGCTGTACTAAGTTACATTCCCACCTTGTTCCTGATTCCTAAAAGAAGAAAATCTTTCAGTTTCTTATTGTAGAGCTTGGTGTTAGCTATGGGCTTGTGAGATGCAGTACTCTAAGTGTTGAGGCAAGTTCCTTTTGTATCTAATTTGCTGAAAAAGCTTAAAAATCACAAAATGTTGATTTTTGTCTGAAGCTTTTCTGTATCTACTAAAATGACAGTTCCAAGCGGTCAGTCCTAAACACATGCACATAAGAGCCAACACTCAGTAGGCTCAGTAGGCTGTATATATGTATTAGTCAGGGTTCTCCAAAGATACAGAACCAGTAGAATGAATATATATGTATAGAGATTTATCAGCTTAGCTCACAGTATAGAGTCCAAGTAGTCCAACAATGGCTGCACCACACTGGAGAGGCTGAGAATCTGTAGTTGCTCAGTCCACTGAGTCTACTGAGGCTGGATGTCTCAGTAGTCCCAATCTGGCAGTGAAGGTCTGACGAATTCCAAAAGATCAGCTAGTCTTCAGTCTACAGCAGCAAGACAAACTCACCAGCAAGAGAGAAGGCAAGTGGCAAGAATCCAGGCGTTCTTCTCTGCCATAGCCTTTTATACGGGCTGCCATCAGAAGGCAACACCCACATTTAGGGTGTGTCTTCCAGCTTCAGATGATTCAATCAAGAAGATCTCTTTCATTTCAGTTAATCCCAGATCCAGTCAAGTTGACACCCAGGATTAGCCATATATATATATATGCATGTGTGTGTGAGAGTAACGATTATAATCACAGAAGGAGAAGTCATAAACTTGAGAGGGGAAAGGGGTTGGAAATGATAAGACTAACTTTAAAAAAATATAAAAAAATTAAAATGATGATACACTTTTGTCCTTCATTCTGCTAATGTGGTATCACATTTACAGATTTCTATGTGTTGAGCAACCATTTGATCATGATGATTTTTTTTTTTTTTTGAGTCAGGGTCTGGGCCTGGAGAGCTGGCCCAGCCATTAAAGGCTCAGGCTCACAACAAAAAAGACATGAGACAAAGAGCTAGTGCAGCTCTGGCTGGCCTTGGATCTCTCTATGCAGACCAGGCTGGCCTTGAACTCACAGAGATCTGCCTGCTTCTGCCTCCTAAGTGCTGGGATCAAATGCATGTGCCACCTGCCTGGCGTGAACGACCATTTTGATGTGCTCTTGAATTCAGTTGACTTGGGTTTTGTTGAGGCTTTCTTCACCATGCTCAGTACAGACATGGACCTGCAGTTTACTGTGAACTAGGGTCCATATCTAGTTTTGGTTCCAGGTTTGAAAGGATCCCCTTTGTTGCATTTTTTGGAAAGAGTTTGAGAAAGGACTGCTACTCATTTTTTAAGCAGTTGGTAGAATTCTATAGTGAAGTGAGAAGACTTTTCCTTGACAGAAGACTATTGTTACTGACCCAGTCTCCTTACCTTATTGCTTTCTTTAGTTTTTCGATTTCTTCATGATTAAGTCTGGCAAGCTATATGTACCTGGAGCTAACCCCTTTGAGGTTATCCAATTTGTTGGCATAGCGCACTTAGGATCTGTTACCTTCTCTCATGTCAATCATGTCTCCTTTTTCATTTCTGAGTTCAGGGACGTAGGCCATTTTTTGGATTTTTTTTTTTTTTTTGGCTATTTTGAGGCAGGCTCTCCCTGTAGCCTCAGCTGACCTGGAACTCACTATGTAGACCAGGCTGGCCTCTCCAGTGCTGAGACTAAAGGTATGTGTCACTACACCTGACTCCCCTCCTCTTCTTTTTGATGTAAATGTTTATTGTTATAAACCTTTCAGGATGACTTTTGCTACATTTCATAATTTTGATATTTTGTTTTCATTTTTATTTGTTTCAAGATATTTTAAGTGTTTCCTTTTAATTTCTAATTTCTTTATTTGTTGTTCAGGAAACTGTTGTTTAATCTCTGTGCATTCAATATATTTTAAGTGTTTCCTTTTAATTTTTTAATTTGTTGTTCAGGAGCCTGTTGTTTAATCTCTGTGCATTGGTACATTTTCCAAAGTTCCTCCTGTTACAATTGCTATTACTTTACATGTGGTTAGAAAAAATTCTTTTTTTAATTTTTATGTCGGATCCCCTGGGACTGGAGTTACGGACAGTTGTTAGCTGCCATGTGGGTGCTGGGATTCAAACCCGGGTCTTCTGCAAGAACAACCAGTGTTCTTAACCGCTGAGCCATCTCTCTAGCCCTAGAAAAAAATTCTTGATGTAATTTCTGGCTTCTTAAATTTGTTAATGCTTGTTCTGTGGCCTTACAAATGAACTTGCTAAGAGGTTTTAGTCTGCTTGTGCTGATGGAACGTAGCATATATCTGTTCTGCCAGTTTGGTCTAAAGTATAGTTAGTCTGTCGCTTCTATACTGACTTTCTGTGGATAAGCTAACCATTTTTGGAAAGTGAGGTGTTGAAGTGATTTCGAGGCCGGTTGGGGTACATGAAACCCTATCTCAAAAAAAAAAGTTTACATCTTGTGGCTGTTTTGAACATTCTGTTGGCTGCTCATCTAATTTCTTAGCCCTTTGGAACTGTGATGCAGGACTAGTTCATACTATCACATTCATTTGTGGTTTGCTAAGCTCACATCAGACTAGCTCTTTTGTGGCATTGTTTATTGGCCGAGCTTTCATTGTGTGCTAGGTTTTGTTCTTTACTTATGCAGCTTTTCTGTGGGGTACAGTTACAAACCTCAGTACGTGTGTTTAAATGAGATAATTAAAATTTTTTTTGGAAGAAGCTGCCTGTGTAACAGGTGGGTTTGGATAAATAATTTTCTCACAGTTATAATTGGGCGTTTCCTTCCTTGGAGTCTCCTAAATAATACGGGTTCTCAGTAACAACCCTAGTCTAGTACTTTCTGGAACGTCCTTTTTATGGTTCTGCCTCCACTCTAACCTTGAAGATAGATGCCTTCCTCCAGAGAGGAACAGTCTCAGCTTCAGTTGTGAGGTACGGCTGGCCACCTACTTTTGCCCACTTTGGGGGTCCTGCCTTATGAGCTTCCCAGCCCTGGACAGTGTATAGAGAGCATCAGCCATGACCCCAGGGCTGCCTCTGGCACTGGCTTCCAGGTTTTCTATTTTCTCACTGCCCACTCTCCTGTTTCACTTCACTCTTAACTTTTTTTCTCTCCTTTGTCCTATCTTGTTGTGAAATAATTTATCAAGTTTTGTCTCTGAGCTAGCTATTGCATTAAAGATTTTTTGTTTTACTTTTATGAATTTATTTAGTTTCGTCAGAAGTGACTTTCAGACATATAGTGTCCCACAATGCAGAAATGTATTTGTGTCTTTTCATTGTTTTCTCCCCCATTTTCATGAGTTGTCTGTGTGTGGACAGACCTTTGTGCTTGCATGTGGAGGCCTTGGGTTGGCGCCCTCATCTTCCGTTGCTCTTTCATCTCATTCATGGAGGCAGGGTCTCTCGATGTGACTAATTTCACTAGCCAGCCTGCTCTGGGGATTCCCTGCCTCCTCTTTCCAAGGCTGGAAAAACAGGCAGGCTGCCAACCCCACCTGGCATTTACACGGGTTTTAGGGATTTGCACTTTGGTTCTTACACTTTTTCAGCAAGCTCTTTAGCGAATGAACCATTTCTCCAGCCTTTCTATTTTTTTGGTGTGTGTATGCACATGTATGTGTGGGTGCTTCTGGTGTGTGTGTGTGTGTGTGTGTGTGTGTGTGTGTGCGTGTGCAGGCTACAGATCAATTTCAGGTTTCTTCCTCAATTTCTAACTTTTTTTAGTAGTCTTTCTCTGAAACTGGAGATGGAGTCAGTTAAGCTGGCTGTGCAGCAAAGAATCCTCCTGTCTTCATCTCCCCTTCAGTGGGATTACAGGGGTGTGTTCCCATGTCTGGCTTGTTATGAGGGTGCCAGGGATCTAAACTCAGGTCCTCATTCTTGCCTGGCAAGCACTTCCTCAACCAAACCATATCCTGGGCCCAGTTTTCTGAAAAAAATTGCATGATTATTTAACTTTCCTCGAAATTATGTTGACCAATTTACCTTAAATATTCTAATTTTTGTGTTCTTTTCAGAGCATTCTGGCCACCTTTTGCTTATAGTATTTATTTCTTTTGAATTTAATTTCAGTTTAAAGATCTTGATTGGCTATTTTGGGGGCAATATGCTATTACATAAAATAGAGTGGATGTTCCTGGTTCCTTCTTTTAAAATATTAAAATGAATAAATTTCATGTCAGTTCATTTAAAATATTTTGTCATATTTATTTGCTCAATAATAATATTAAGAAGGACTGGGGAACAACCATCTTGTACTTGAAACTACATCTCAACCCTCATTCCTACTGAAGTGCTTGGGCTCACATTCAGTGTTTAGTGCCCCTCCTTTAAGTAGAGCAAGTTGCTAGGATAGTTCACAGTAAATAAGGTTTTCTGATCACAATTTATCTTTGTGATTATTTAGACATGACACCACATTAAATAGATTCTGCTACATGCATACTCAAAAATATTTGCTTAATTAAGGCTGAGGAGATGGCTCTGTGAAAGGTGCTGGATCCCAAGCATCCATACAAAGAGATGGGTATGGTGGCATACACCTATAACCCTGGTGCTAGGGGCAGAGACTGGCAGATTACTAGAGCTTGCTGACCAGCCAGTCCAGCCTAAACAGCAAGTTCAACTTCTGTGAGAAAGCATGCCTCCAAAAGTAAATTGGAGGGTGATAGAGGAAGACTCTCAACATCAACCTCTGACCTCTGTGCGCACACAGGTGGTATACACCTGCACACGTATATGTGTGTGCATGCACGTGCACGCACACACACACACACACACCAGACACAAATATGCATATAATGTTTCCTTAATGAGTGTATAAGCATGTATTTACTTTTTTATGGATACATCTGTCTGCATTTTCATAGGAACATCATAATCACTATGACCAATGCTGAAGAGATTATTTTCCCATACATACATCTATTCTCCATGTCCACTCTACCATTGATTATTAAAATATGAATAAAATATAAAAAGAAAAAAGAAATACAAATAAATGAATCATATCTTTAAAAAAACCACAAGGAGGGGCTCAGCGGTTAAGAACACTGGTTGTTCTTGCCAGAAGACCCTGGTTCAAATCCCAGCACCCACATGGCAGCTAACAACTGTCTGTAACTCCAGTCCCAGGGGATCTGGCAGCCTCTTCTGACCTCCATGGGCATCGCACGACACAGGTGCACTTACCTACATGCAGGCAATACACGCATACGCATAAAATAAATAAATAAATAAATAAAACCACAAGGAAACCAGTATCAAGGACAGAGATCATGTGGGTAGTGAGAAGAGCACATATAACTTAACACATCTCTAACAAAGTTGGAGCAACTTAATTTACCTGGAAATGTCTTTGTGATGAAAAATTTAAAATCCTTTAATGTTTCCTCGGTTTTAACCTTGGCCTTCAGAATATAAATATTACTAAACTTGTTCTTGAGGTACTGAGGGCTGCCCAGGCACACAAACTTCCCCTTCACCGTGATGGCTAGCCTGGTACAGAGGGATTCACATTCTTCCATGTTAGGAAAACAAGGAGGCAGGATAACATCAAATTACAAAGCTCTTTGAAGGACATTGTGTATTCAGTCTTTTCCAGGATCTTGTGACTCATTTTTAACCAGAAGTAGCATTTGCTGATCATCAAGTTCATAACTGGGAAATGTATTATGGAGTGTGTGTGTAGTGCACATACACATATGTGCATGTGGAGGCCAGAGGTCAACCTCAGGTATTCCTTAAGAGCCACCCACCTTGTTTTTAGGATACAGGGTCTCTCACTATGACCTGGGGGACTCACTGATTTAGATTAGGCTGGTCAGTGACTGCCAGGATTCTGTCTATCTCTGCCCATCGCTGGAATGACAAGCATGCACCACTACACTCAGCTTTTTTATGTGGGTTCTGGGAATCAAGCTCAGGTCCTCATGCTTTCACAGCAAGCTATCTCCCCAGCCCTTGAGAAGTGTATATTTTTAAAGGATAAGTAACAGAACACACAATCCTCAAATGGACTGTATCTCTAACTTCCTGTTCTCTTCCTACTCTTGGTTTAAAAAATACATTGAGGATTCTTGGCCATTCCATTCATTAGGGTTAATAGGACTTTTAATTCCTAATAAGAAACTCATATTCTCAATCAAGCCTACTGTTCAATATTTCTGACCCTAAATAATTGACCTGTGTAGCTATCAGAAGACTTGACAACCCTTAAGGAAGCCTTCCAATGTGCCACACCTGTGAGAGGTTATAATGATAGCTTGTGGGGACCTAAAGGCCTCGCCTTGCCAAGATGGCGCTAAGAGGAAGTTACTGGGGCACAGCCTGACTTGTTTTGAAGATCATCGGATTGGATGCCTCCATAAGTTTTCATGGGCTCCTGCCTGCATGCATGCACTGACCTTTAAGCTGATTGGAGAACTATGAGTGGTGGGGTAATTATAAGCACCCTGCCCTGCTGCAATAAATGAGTCCCTGCTTGACTAGACTCCCCGTTGTGTCTGATTGTTCCTGGTGCTGGGGACGGCAGGGGCTGGCGAACGGCCTGCTTACTCATCCCCAGTCATCCTTGCACAGAGGTCACAGGCTCGAACCCCCCACAATAGCTTTTCCACTTTCACATGTCTTTATCACTGTGTCCCAGAGGAGGCGTCCAGCTCCTGGGTCCATGCCAGTTGATGGTTCATCCAGGAAGACGACTGAGGGCTTTCCCATTGTGGCAATAGCAGTGCTCAGTCTGCGTTTGTTTCCTCTACTTCACGGCCAAAGAAGAGGGAAGAAAGTGGAAGAAGAGGAGGCTATACATATCAGTTATTCATAGGAAAGACCTAGTACAAATATTCATCGTACTGAGAGTGTCAACAAACCCCAAGCATAGACATCCCCAATGCTGATTCAGTATGGCTTTAAGAAGCCAGTAGGTCCAGGCACATATATAAAGCAGGGGGGTAACTTTCATGTGTTTGATTTTGGCTCCATTTATTTACTTGTTCTTCGGGTGCTGTTATTACTCTTGTACATAAGCCTCACCCTACTTTGAAGGCATACATTTCTCTTTGGTGGAAGGCAATCATAGGAACAGTAGGAAGAAGAAAACAACCCCTCTTGAAGTTTCAGGGGCCACAGTTCAAAGAGAAAAGGTTATTCACTTTTATTTCTGAAGAGGGAAGTTGTGGAACTGTTACTGGCATTGGAAACCTAACAGGGCATTAGATCATGTCCTAGTTAGATTTAACTGTCTACTAGACATAGCCTAGAATCACCTGGAAAAGGAGTCTTCATTGAGTAACTGTCTTTATCAAGCTGTTTTGTGAAAATGTCTGTGAGGCATTGTCTTATTAATTGATGTAAGAAGGCCAAGCCCACTGTGGATGGCACCATCTCTAGGCAGGTGGTCCTGGGCTGTATAAGAAAGCCAGCTAAGCATGAGCCTGTGAACAGGCCAGCTAGCGGGCAGCTTTCTTCAAGATTCCTGCTGTACTTCATTGGCTATGAATGAATTCCCTAGCTAGAGGACGTGATACATGGAATAGCAAGCAGGTCCTGTCTTGAGTTCCTGCCCTGGCTCTTCTCAGTAATGGACTATAACCTGGCAGTGTAAGCCAAATAAATCATTTCTACCCCTAAGCTGCTGTAGAGTATTTTATCACAGTGCCAGAATGAACAAAAACAGGTGGTGTCCTAGTTTGTTGTTCATTGCTATGACAAAATACTCTGACCAATACCAACTTGGGGAGGAAAGGGTTTATTCAGCTTACATCTCCCAGGTGGCAGTTCATCAGGGAGCCCAAGGCAGGAACTCAGGGCAGGAACCTGGAAGCAGGAGCTGGAGCACAGACCATGGAGGAATGCTGCTTACTGGCTTGCTCCCCTGGCCCCTGCTCAGCCTGTTTTCTTATGTAACACAGGCCCACCTGCCCAGGGGTGGCACCACCCACAGTGGGCTGGGCCTTCCCACATCACTCACCAAAAAGATGGCCCTCAGACATGGCCACAGGCCAGTCCAATAGAGGCAATTCCCCAACTGAGGCTCCCTCAACCCAGGTGTGTCAAGTTGACACCAAAGCTATCCAGCACAGGTGGTTTCCCAGTTAGGTAACTGTGTGACAGAGAAATTTAGGTGCAGCTGTGGGCACTTGTGTCAAATACCAGGAATACAAGGATACTTCGACATTATGACCATCAATAACAACAGTAGTTAAGAAGTCACAACATAATGAGTCACCTATAGGTACTGATGAGATTGTTAGCATGAGTTTCCAGTTCCAGAGAGTTCAGATGCACGTTCACATAGGACTGAATCTGATGCTCAGAGACACCCCATATTCTCACATACATGATCATTATTTCCCGACCAGTCATGTATTCCAGCAAGGCATCATATTGAGGACAATAGCCAATTCTCGACGTCACCTAATTACAAGATTGCCTTAAGTGAAAATTCAAGCCATCTAATACTTGCTGAACATTTGTGGAATGGGGCAGAAGGTCTGCAGTTCTTCAGGCCATGATTCTACCACCCCTATGTTTACATCAGACACGCAATCTCCCATGAAGCATATTGCTGCTAAGTGTTGTTGTTGTTGTTTTTTTTAAGTAGGAAGTGTGACCAAATATAAATCACAGAGTTGACTGATAAAGGTGATTATGAATTAACTGGGACATTGTACAGACTGACATGGCCTTATACATATGACTTTATAGCCCCAATTAGGAGCTTTTCTCCTAGCCTTCATCATGGGATGGTGCTGAAGATCCGGCTATCTTTCACCTACGGGTTGTTACAACCACTATGGTAATCATCTCCTTTTTCCTCCAAAAAAGAAAAAAAATGCAACAACAAAGAACTCAACATCATAGCAAATTACAATCTGGATCCAATTTCATATCCCCGAAGACTCACTCAGTCAACATGCTTCGACTGACTTTTTATCAGAAGAAATGAGACTAATATAAAGTGAAATTTCACAGTTAACATGTACTCTGGGAAGCTTAGTGGTAACTTGGCCCTCTATAGGACAATCAAAATGAGTCTTTCTGTGAACGCATCTCCTTTTCTGGATTTATTTCATTTTTTTCTTCTTCTCTTTTTCCTAAATCACTTATTTTCTTTCTATTACCTGTATGTTTTACAAGTTATAAGATAAATGTTTAATATATTTAAAATATCAGTTCCATTTGTATTCACTAATATCACCTCTTCACTTGAATGATGGTCTTTGCTCTATAGAAGATTTTTAGTTTCATAAGGTCCCATTTGTCACTTGTTAGTCTTAATGCCTGTGCTATCAGGGTCCTCTTCAGAAAATCCCTTCCTGTGTCTCTAAGTTCCAGTGTATTCTCTATGTTCTCCTATCAGCTTCAGAGTATCGGGTCTTAGGTCGAGGTCCTTGATTCATCTGGAGCTATTTGTGCAGGGTGAGATACAGGAATCCAGTTCTACTCTTCTACGTGTATCTATCCAGTTTGACCAGCACCATTTGTTGAACATGCTGTCTTTTTTCCAATGTGTATTTTTGGTTCCTTTGTCAAAAATCAGATGGCTGTAACTGTGTGGACTTAATTCTGAGTCCTCAATTCTGTGTCATTTATCAGTTTGTCTCTTCTTATGCCAGGACCATGCTATTTTTATTACTATAGCTCTGTAGTAAAATTTGAGCTCAGGAATGGTAATGCCTACAGCATTAAAAAAATTATTCAGGATTGTTTTGGATATTCTGAGTTTTTGTGTTGCCATATAAAATTTGAGATTATTTTTCAATTTCTGTGAGGAATTGTGTGGGAATTTTAATGAAGATTGTGTTGAATATGCAGATTGCTTTTTGGGAGGATGGACATTACATTGTATTAATCCTATTGATCCATGAGCATGGTAGTCTTTCCATAGTCTAGTATCTTTTTCAATTTATTCAATATTTTAAATTTTACAATTTATTATTATATAAATTGTTCACTTCCTTGACTAGATTTGTTCCAAGATATCTTATTTATTTGAGGCTATCATGAATGGGATAATTTCCCTGGTTTCTTTCTCAGCATGTTTGGTGTTGGTATTAGGGAGGCTATTGAATTTTGTGTGTTAATTTTGTATCCTGCTACTTTGATAAATGTATTAATCAGCTCTAGGAGTTTTTCTAATGGAAACTTTTGGGTCTTTTATGTATATGATCATATCATCTGCAAACAAGATTACGTTGACTTCTTCCTTTCCAATTTGTATTGTCTTTTGTCTTGTCTTATTGCTCTAGCTAAAACCTCAAGCATTATGCTGAATAATAAAAATGGAGAATGGACATCATTGTCTTGTTCCTGATTTTATTGGAAACACTTTGGATTCTTCTCCATTTAGCAGCCAAAATAACAAAATGGATAGGAAGAGGGTTAATCAAAGAGTTGAAAAATATCATACACAGCAAACTACAAAACATTTCTGAAAGAAATTAAAGAAGCTACAAATAGATTGGAAAGGCAAAGCATGTTCATGGATTGTCAGAGATTTTGTATTATTTATTTATTTTTATTTTCTGTGTATGAATGTTATGCCCTCATGTATATAAGTACACTCGTTAATCATATCATCTGCAAACAAGGTTACGTTGACTTCTTCCTTTCCAATTTGTATTCTCTTTTGTCTTGTCTTATTGCTCTAGCTAAAATCTCAAGCATTATGCTGAATAATAAAAATGGAGAATGGACATCATTGTCTTGTTCCTGATTTTATTGGAAACACTTTGAGTATTTTTCCATTTATCATAATATTGGCTGTGAGCTTGTGTATATGGCCTTTATTATGTTGAAATATGTCATGAGTATTCCTAGATTCTTCGGGACTTTTATCATGACAAAATGTTGGATGTTGTCATTGAGTGTATTGCCTACATGTATGTAAGTGCACCCCTGTCTTGCGTAGCGCAATGCCCATGGAGGACAGAAGAAAGTGTTGGATCCCTTGGAACTAGAGTAGGGATGGTTGTTAGCCACCATGTGGGTGCTGGGATTCGAACATGGATAGCGCAATGCCCATGGAGGACAGAAGAAAGTGTTGGATCCCTTGGAAATAGAGTAGGGATGGTTGTTAGCCACCATGTGGGTGCTGGGATTCGAACATGGGTCCTCAACAAGAGCAGTCACTGTTCTTAACCACTGAGCCATTTTCCAGTCCCCATTTTAGAATTTTAACTTGCAGTGAAAAAAAAAAAAGCATATTTCTCAGTGTTTTCAAATTCCTAGCATCTTTGAGATACGGGGACAGTAAGTCAGGGATTCTCAAAA